ATACCTGACCCAAGCCAGGCCAACTGCAATACCTAGTCATCTGGTCATGTGAATTGATAGAGCATGAACACATAATGTAAGCCGGCCAATCAGAATCCCATTGGGCTTTTATGCCTGTGCCCTGGATTATGTGTTCATGCTCGATTCTGGTCAAGGGCACATCCCCTGTGGGGAGTGTGCAGGAGGCAGCTGGTCAATGTTTCTCTCTCATTGATGTTTTCAACTGTCTATCCCTCTCCCCTTTTCTCTGTAAAAAAAAATCAATAAAAAAATATATATTTTTTAAATGGTGTTTCCTCTGCAGCTCATGAGGCCCCTGTGTTGTATCCACTGGGCTAGGGAGTGTCCCTGCCACCCGATGGTAGCCACTGGGGTCTCCGCACAACCCAGAGAATGGCAGCCAGCCCTCCCCCCATCGTGGGCTCTGGGCTGGGGGCATGCAGAGACCCCCAGGCCACGTGCAACAGCAGCTGCCGGGGTCTTCTCACACCCTAGAGGCCAGCAGCCAGCCCCATCATGGATGCTGGGCTGGGGGGCATGCAGGAACCCCTGGACCACACATGACGGCCACCAGGGTCTCCTCATGTTCCAGAGGCCAGCAGCCAGCTCCCTGCCGGGCTAGGGGCATGGATCCGAGCTGCCACTTGGCTCCAGAGCACGTGCAAGTGGCTGGGGGCGGGGCGGGAACATCCCTGTGTCACCATTACTATGCAGGAATGTTCCCGCCCCGCCCCCAGCAGCTTGGCTGCTGCACCCATAGTCCTGGAGTGGCTTTGGGTGTTCTGGGACCCCTGCCGCTCAGGGCCTAAGTGCGGGCCTACAGGCTAGGAGCAGCCTGGGTCCCAAGGATGTTCCCGGGAACCAGACCACGCTGCATATGCAAATTAACCACCATCTTGGTTGGGTTAATTTGCATAGTTGTTCCTAATTGGCTAGTGGGTATGGCTGGTGGGTGTAGCAGAGGTATGATCAATTTACATGTATATCTTTTATTAGATAGGATGACTGTGTATTGGTCTTCTAGCAAAAACTGAAAGAAGACCCTAGTTCAGTCTACAATGTTTGCTATACGTTATTTGTTCTCCCTTCTCATTTCCTTAAAAGTCCTCTACTTCTGTTCATCTATTGATAATCCAAGGTCAATGAGTCAGGTACTTGTATTTTATTTTTTGAGTCAGGTACTTTTAAATTGTTTTTCCAATTGTGCCAATGGACATAACCATTGGGACCAGTCTTGGGACCAGTGACTTGCATTTTTAAGAAGGCCAAGGTCGAGGAGCAATTTGTAACTATTAGGAACAAAGTTAACTTGTCCACATTGGTACTGAACCCAAAGCCTAGGCCCCATTACTGCCATGCGTGAACCATAGAGACAGCAGTGATGAAGATAATTAGCTGTATAAACAGACTCTCTTCCCATGCGTCGTTAATAACCTGAACAACCTTTGAAGCAAATAAAACAAGCTCAGATTGTCTTTCTGCATTAAAATGGAATCGTGTTTTTTTTTAGCTTTCTCCATAATAAGATTTTTTTAAAATATATTTTATTGATTTTTGTACAGAGAGGAAAGGAGAGAGATAGAGAGTTAGAAACATCGATGAGAGAGAGTCATCGATCAGTTGCCTCTTACACACCCCCTACTGGGGATATGCCTGCAACCAAGGTACATGCCTTTGACCGGAATTGAACCCGGGGCCCTTCAGTCCCCAAGCCGACGCTCTATCCATTGAGCCAAACCAGTCCCGGCCATAATAAGATTTCTTAAAAAATATATATTTTTTTATTGATTGCAGAGAGGAAGGGAGAGGGAGAAAGATATAGAAACATTAATGATGCGAGAGAATCATTGATTAGCTGCCTTCTGCATGCTCCACACTGGGATCAAGCCCACAACCGGGCATGTGCCCTGACATGGAATCATGACCTCCTGGTTCATAAATCAACACGACTGCTGGGCCACACTAGCCAGGCCAAAATAAGATTTAATAATAAGAGTTAGTAGTTTCAGAGGTTAATTGCACAGGTGAAAAAAGTGGAGAAATATCTCTTATTTTGTTCATCCAACTTGCTGACATCTGAAGCTATTTTCAATTGTTTGTAAGCAAGGGGGAAAGCACTTAAATTTATGGAGCATATCCAGCACAGCAGGTTGCCAATGCAATGTTCTTCCCAATGTTCTTCGTCCCAGGAAAGTGCCAGCTATTGTTATTGCTCGCAGAATGAATGAGTGGTCTTCACTAATGAAGATTAAGCCATGGGCTGGGTAAGTTTGTAATCCTTGAGGGTGAGATAAAAATGAGAAATGATGCTAGGCTAAGACTTGCAAAGTCACAATGGCCTCAGCTATTCCCACATGCCTCTCCTAGTAGATGCAAAGCATGATCTTGCTGTTTATCAAAGGAAGGAAAGCAACTACTATTTTATAGCAGGGATGTTCCAGATTTGGTGCCCTTGAAAGTTATACAATGCAAGTGGGGCTCTCTAAGAAAAAGAATACACAAATATATTACTTTTGCACATTTTACAAAAATTGGATGGTCATTTCTAGGGGCCTCAGAAGGAACTTATACTAATAGTGAAACCTGAAGCCTAAACTCCATTTGCTCCAGTGAATCCATCCCTGCTTTTGAGGACCTACTATGTGCTAGAAATTTTCACATGTGTTCTCTCATGTAACCCTCCCTACAATTTCGTGAGTTTGGTGTTCTTACATCCATGCTTTCAGCATAGTAAGAAAAGTAACCATTTTTTTTATTGTTTATATCTTTTTGTACTATTTGAATGTTCTATATATTACATATTTTCTTACCATAAACAACAGTGAAGTCATTTTCATTTTGGAAAAATATAAGGAAGAAGGAAATATAACCACAGGTTTGTGTAGGTTTAATGCCATTTTACTATCGTGTGGCTGAAAGCCTGGCACACAGTGGGTCCTCAGTAATATTTGTCATCTATTTAAACAAATAAATCCTGCTTAAAAGGCTACATTATTCACATATTTAAGTTGTCTATAAAGGGCTCAATTCCAGGCTAAGGGAACAGAAAGACCACCTTATGGATAATGAGCTATATAATGCAAAGGCTACGAATCCAGAAAAATCAGTATGGCTCTTTGATCCCAAACTATCAACATCTTATCATCTCTGCAGAAATAAGTTGTGTCCTTATGTCTGTTGAAACTTGATATTTTGTTAATAAGAGGGAACATTATTTTATCTCATAACGAGGGGCCTGATGCATGATTTGTGCATCGGGGAGTGGGTCCCTCAGCCTGACCTGCACCCTCTCCAATCTGGGAGTTTCTGTCTGTCTTTTGCAATCATATGAGCTAATTGTCTGAGACCCCAACCCAGTTTGGTTTGTTGCTCACAGAATAATAGAGGCATTTTTCTTTTATTTGCTTCATTGTTGGAGATTTCCTGAAAGTTTTAGGATACCTTCCCTTTAGTTTTTCCTAGACACTGATTTTACTTGTGTCTCTCACCTTTGCTGTCCCTGCATCCCCCATCACAAACAGTAACTGCTCCAGGCTCACTTTGCTCTAGAGTAGGGGTGTCTAACTCAATCAGAGAAGGGGCCAAAATCTAAAATCCAGCCTAAATCGCGGGCCGAATGGTTTACTGAACAGTCATAAACTGTCATTGTGATGGAAACGCAGTGGAGTGCAGTGATGACAGCGTGGTGCGGGCCACATTGCAAGGCCTGGCGGGACGGATTTGGCCCGCGGGCCTTGTGTTTGACACATGTGATCTAGAGTCTAGATCAATCTGCCACCAGAACTATGATTCCCAGAATTCCTGGTGCTCCTCACACTATTGGTTTCCCCTTCCTGCTCTGCCAAGTCCTCCAAGCCTCCAGCTCTCTGTCTCTGCTCTCCATCTGGTGGCTTAGGGAGCCAAGTTCTCCAAGCAGCTCCATTCTCCGCCGGCTCTCCTGCTCGGCTTTCTGCCAGGCACCTATGTATGCAAATTAACTTGCCATTTTTTTTGTTGGGTTAATTTGCATACTCACTTCTGATTGGCTAGTGAGCATCGTAGAGGTACAGTCAATTTTACATGTTTCTCTCTTATTATATAGGATTGGAATTAAGGTTTTATCATTCCTCTGGGATTTTAACATGAATCCCTCCCTCTTACTGCAGATGATTCTTAAGAACCATTTGTGGAGAAGGTAGTGTTCTAAGGGTGCATTAGGCTCTCAGAGAACTGACTTTGGGCAAAGGTAGGCACCACCTCCACCAGAATCAATAAAATCTGATGGTGCCATGCCGAGGAAAGATGTGATAAGTTCTGGGGAGGGAGTCCCTATGTGCACCACAAGGACTGGGCTTGTTTTCCCTAGTTTTTGATGGCCAGGCTCAGGCCAGTGGGTGAAAGCTGTAAAAGCCCAGGTGGAGTCTATCAAAGGAAAAGGTTACCAGTAAATAGAATGGAGCCACGGAGGAACGGGTACTGTACGGAGAACTGAGCTTTTCATCATCGTTAATGTTCAAACTAAGGCTGATGAAGTGATAGGGGCTTGAACAAGGCATTCACATTTTAAGGCTCTCAGTTTTAAGAATTAATTATTAATTCTGTGGAGCTGAGAATTTGGGCTAGCTGAAAGAGTATTTACACACTACATTCTTCATTCTGAAAAATATTTTGGTTGTCCTGTCACATAACCCATATGTTCTTACTAATACAAAGATCATCATTTTTCTTCTAGAAACTTTTACATTTGTCATGGAGAAGGTTTTATTTAGGGTAGCCTAGAAAATACTACACTTCATTTTCTCTCTTTTTAAAAAATATATATTTTTATTGTTTCCAGAGATAGGAAAGGAGAGGGAGAGAGATAGAAACATCAGTGATGAAGAGAAAATCATTATCGGTTGCCTCCTGCATATACCCCCACTGGGGATCTAGCCTGCATCCCAGGCATGTGTCCTGACCAGAATGGAACTGTGACCTCCTGGTTCATAGGTCTATACTCAACCACTGAGCCATGCTACTCTTCATTTTCAATTTGTGAATACAAGAGGGAGTTGAGAGAAGCTATCTGCTTGAATGCATTTTGTTTGTATAGTCTTACTCCTACACAGAAGACTATAGTCTTATAGGTAACCAAAGATAAATTAGAAAATCTAGATAAGCTGCTGGGAGTGGGGTCAGGTGACCAGAAAGGGGCTGCAGCTGGGGGACCTCCAGGCCAGCATCTGGCTGAGGTCATGCACCCAGCAGGTCCCTGTCCCATGTTTCCACTGCATCCTCCCTCTGCTTGCTCCAAACTCTCCCCCTTTCCCCCCCGCAGTCTGTCATGAATATTGATCATCCTCTGTTGTATTTCCTGAGCTCCACTGCCAAAGGTGGGAGGGTGGGGGTGTTTGTATCTGAATCTGGCTCCAGTCTTCCGCTGGGCGGGAGCCGCAATGTCTCAGGCTGTGCAGAAGAATGGAACTAAACCATTAAGCAAAACATGGGAACTCGGTTTATATGAATTACAAGGAACACCTCAGGAAGCAGTAAGGTTGGCTTGGAAATGGCGGTGTCACCTGGGAGTCTATGCAGTGAATTAACGCCCCAGTTTGTTGGGATATGTTGAAGAACACCTTGACTACAAAGGAGTGTTTACGTCGTTTCTGCCAGACTGCATTATCACTGCCCTCAGTGGTGGCAACAAAGAATGCCCTACGTGTTGGAAAAAGTGAGTTTCCAAAAGATCACTAAGGCCCTAACTTCGAGGCACTCATCATCATCAGAATTTACCCAGGATGAGTGTGAAGCTCCTCGAGAGAGAGTATGATGCTGAAACCGGTTTGGCTCAGTGGATAGAGCGTCGGTCTGCGGACTGAAAGGTCCCGGGTTCGATTCCCGTCAAGCGCATGTACCTTGGTTGCAAGCACATCCCCAGTGGGGGGTGTGCAGGAGGCAGCTGATAAATGTTTCTCTCTCATTGATGTTTCTAACTCTGTATCCCTCTCTCTTTCTCTCTGTAAAAAATCAATTAAATATATATATATATATATATATATATATATATAGAGAGAGAGAGAGAGAGAGAGAGAGAGAGAGAGAGAGAGAGAGAGAGAGAGAGAGAGAGAATGAACCAAGAGAAACAAGCACAACAGAGAGCGAGCGCTGAGTCATGGCATCGAGGAGGTCCTGAAGTACAAGCCATGACGACAGGGAGCCAGGAAGCCACAGATCGAAGGCAGTTGGCAGGCGCCTAAGACAATGGCGGCAGTTCTCGCCGTAACTACGCGTCCACACACAGCTGCAGGAAGCAGGACCCAATAACAACTGGACCAAAACACCAGATTCTAGGCTGGAGCTTGATAACAGTGCAATAGTGGCAACTGATCCGTTCATGGATAGTATTGGGGAAATTGAGTTAGTATTAGACCTCATCCCACACTTACGGGAAAAGATGACCGACAAGGAACATAAAGACTTCAGGTAATGCCACTGTTGATCATTTTCCAAGTATCTGGCTGTGAGGTGAGCTTTAGAACTTCAAAGAAGAACGAAACCAGGCGAACCTTGGTCCAGCCAGTGAGAAGCACCATACTATCTGCCCAGCTAACAGCCGGTGGGCAATTCCCTGTATTAAATGGCCCTTTTTCTTTGGAATTGGTCAGTGAGAAATACTGGAAACTTTTTATGTACCCACGAAGGAGCTTTTACTAAAGCCATTTCAGAGAATGCACTGTTTTTATAGCCTTTTTTATTATTAAAAATGTATCATTACTTTTGTGGACAGAATCTTGGATATGTTGGTCAGTTTTCTGCCTGAGCCAGACTTATTTACACTATTAGTGATAGGTCCTCCCTTCCTCCAACTGATGGACCGACATAAACTCCACCTGCAGCTGGACATTCCTGAGCATTGAACCCCCAATCAGCACCTGCCAAATACCCTAAGCCCCCAATTCCTAAGTTCCTAGGTCCCTAATCATAGGCCTTACATGAAATCACCAATCAGCATGTGCTGAGTGCCCTAAGCCCCATACCCTGTCCTCCCCTTAAAAAGTGCTTGTACCCCTCTCTCTCTCTCTGGAAGCAGCCGACAGTGGTACTCTTCTCTTCAATACAGCCTGTGTCCTGGTATCCCAGTATCTGGCCCTCTCTATTTCATCTTTCAATTAGAATCTTTTCCCCTTAATTTAAGATTTCCTTTTTGGAAGGGATTACAATTATTCAGAACTTTTAATTTCCTCTTAAAAATATATCTAATTTGTATGTCTTGACAAAGTATGGTTCCATTTGAGCACCCTTTGATCTAGGAATTTTCCATGGTTCTATATTCTTAAGATCTAGTTGGCCAACTTTTCCCCTCACCTCAATAGTTTAGGGCTCACAAAGTGTTAAATATGAATTTTGACTTTTTTTCTTGGTATCTTTTATATTAACTAGGAGCCCAGTGCACAAATTTGTGTAACTTAAAAGGAACTGTGAGCCTCAAGGCTGTGGTGGGCATTAGCATGGGTCTTGGCTCATCCTCCCCATCCCTGCCTGGCCCCTCCCGCCACAGCCCCTGTTCCCTGTCTGCCAGCAGCCCCACTCTTGCACTGCCGCTCCCATGCTCTGATGGGGTCAGTCCCACTCGAACCTGCTGGTGGCATGAAGCAGTTGGGGCTGTCACCAGCAGCGGGTGTGAGTGGCAACTGCCAGCCCTGATCGTCTCTCAGGAGCAGAGGGAGGTGGAGAAGCCTTGAGGGGCAATCGGGGCTGGCAGCTGCTGCTCGAACTCACTGACAGCACCAAGAGATCAGGGTTGGCACCGGGCACCAGCAGCAGGTGCAAGTGGGGCCAGTGCCGGCAGCAGGTGTGGGCGTTGGCAACAGATGTGAGCACCTGGTGGGACCACAGTGTGTGGAAGCAAAGAATTTTCAGTAACCACGAGAGGCTCACCCAGATAACAGCGACCAATGCCCCGCCTTGGTCTGGCACCCCCGTTCACCTGCTCCACCACCCCGCTGTGGCTCTGCCAGCTGCTGCCAGCACCCACCATGTTCCACATGTGACCCCTGGTGGTCAGCGCACATCATAGCGACAGGTTGTTCAGTTTTTCCCTTGTTTGGTTGTTCAGCCGTTCGGTCTATTTGCATGTTAGGGTTTTATATATATATATATATATAGATGGGTGTTTCTATAGATGCTGTAGTATCTTCTTAAAGACCAAGGCTTACATTTACTATGCTTAAGAATTCTCATAGGATTACTGTTTTTATGATATTTTCTTCTATGATATCTCATTTTTTTTTAAAGGTTCTTTATGAACTTACTGTTCATTGTCATGCAATGTTATTTTTTTTTTACCCCTCTAATTTTGGAATTTCTGATTTGGGGAAAGGGAATCACACAAAAATCTCAAGTTCTAGGAGAACTTGGTTCATTTATAGATTTTACTGAAAAGAAAACACAATATTATATTGGTGAGAGAAAGACCTATTTCTTTAAACTTTTAAAGTATCATTCTCTGAATAGTGCATAAAACATAGATGGGTGCAGATCAATGTGTTGTATAAAAGTGAACACCCATGAACTCACCTTTCTGTTGAGCTCCCTCAAAGCCCCTTCATGGAGACCTTCCTTCCTCCTCCTCAGCAGTGCTCACTGGACTTCTCACACTGCGTTTTCTTTTGCCTGTTTTGTGTTTATGCAAATGGAATAATAGCATATGGATGCTTCGTGCCTAGCTTTATCTTCTTTGTTTCACATTGTTTGTGAAATCCACCTATGCTGTTGCATGTGAGAGTAATTCATTCTTTTTATTGTCATATAGTATTCTATTGAATAAATGTATTAAAATGTGTTTACCTCCTCAACTGTTCATGAACATTGAGGTTCTTTATTAAGAACAATGCAGCATTATTCACAGTAGCCAGGAGGTGGAAATAACCCCGGTGTCCATCAGGGAATGAATGGATAAATGAAATATGGTTTATACATACAATGGAATACTATTCATTTTTTACAAGGAAGGAAATTGTAACACCTGCTACAGCATGGATAAACATTGAAAACATTATGCTAAGTGGAAAAAAACAGTCACAAAAGAATAAATACTGTATGATTCTACTTAGATGAGGTGCCAAAGTAGTAAAATTCATAGAGATAGAACGGAGAACGATGGTTACAGGGACTGGGGATGGAGAGGAATGGGGAGTTATTGTTTAATGACTACACAGTTTTAGTTTAGGAAGAAAAAGACAATTCTGGAGATGAATGATCATGACGGTTGTACAATGGTATGACTGTACTAAATGCCATTAAACAGATTTTGTTATGTATATTTTGCCACAATAAAAAAGGAATGAAAAAGAACAATGCTGCACTGCACATTCCTTTTTTTTTTAGCTTTATTTCCCCATTCTCCCAGCTTTATTGAGATGGAATTGACATATAACATTGTGTAAATTTAAGATGTACAACATGATGATTTGATGTCCATACAAATAAATGGGTAATATGCTAATTAGATTGGGTCTATCAGACATCTTCCAGTCATTTAGTCCTCCTTCCAGACAAAGCCATGGTGATTGGGGCCGAGGCAGAAGCAGTTAGGGGCAATCAGGCAGGCAGGCAGAGGGGTTAGGGGCAATCAGGCAGGCAGGCAAGCAGAGTGGTTAGGGGCAGTCAGGCAGACAAGCAGGTGATTGGTTAGGAGCCAGCAGTCCTGGATTGGGAGAGGGATGTCCCAGATTGAAGAGGGTGCAGGCCAGACTGAGGGACACCCCTCTACCGCCCCCCCCCCCGCCCGTGCATGAATTTCATGCACCAGGCCTCTAGTATGTTTATATTGCAAATTGATTACCACAGAAAGGTTACTTAATACCTCCACACCCACCTCCTTACTTACACAATTACAATCTGTTTGGTATGTGGTGAGGCTATTTAAGATCTACTCTCTTAGCAGCTTTTAAGTATGCAGTACAGTATTGTTAAATATAGGCACCATGCATGCAGTACAATTCATCCCCAGGACTTATTCATCTTATAACTGGAGGTTGTGCTCTTTGACCAACATCTCCTCATTACCCTCCTGCTTTCCCCCAGACCCAGCAACCACAATTGTACCCTCTGTTTCTATAAGTTTGTCTTTTCTATTTTATTTCAGATTTCATTTGTGAGTGTGATCATACAGTATTTGTCTTTCCCTGTCTGACTTATTTTATTTAGCATAATCCCCTCAAAGTCTGTCCACGTTATGCAAAAGGCAGGATTTCCTTCTTTTTTTTTTTATCGCTGAAAACTATTCCATTGTATAAACACCACGTTTTCTTTATTTGTCCATCTATTGCTGGACACTTAGATTGTTTCCATATCTTGGCTACTATGAATCATGTTGCAATGAACATGGAGGTGCAGCTATATCTTCAAGATAGTTATGTCATTTTTTTAAAGATATGTACCCAGAAGTGGGATTGCTGAATTATATGGTAGTTCTATTTTTGCTTTCCCCAGTGGCTGCACCAATTGACATTCCCACCAACAAAGCACGAGAGTTCCCTTCTCCACACCCTCCCCAACACTTATTATCTTGTCATTTTTAGATAACAGTGATTCCAACACATGTGATACATTGCACACTCTTGTACATGGCTTTTGGTGAACATACTAATTTTCTTTGGATTTGCTGAATGATAGGACAGGTATATGTTTAACTTTAGTAGCTACCTAGACCAGGTTTTTAAGCTGTGAAGGACCAGTCACATTTCTATGAGATGGTTGTCTTCATTTCTATCGTCATGTAACAAATTAGCACAAACTTAGATACTTAAAATAGCACCCATTTGTTATTTCACAGTTTCTTTGGGCCAGGAGTCTGCGCCCAGCTTAGCTGAGTCCTTTCTCAGGACAATTTGGGAAAACTTCCCCGAGATGTACTGGAACCAGCCTCCGAAGGTGGCTGACCAAGAGGTCAAAGAAAGAGGGTGACAACTCCAGAATTAAAAAGTTTATCAAGCGAAATTCCAGACAGATTCCATTTTTGGCAGCAAAATAGTGGATCTCCAAGCCGGAAAGGGATGGGGCTTGATATACAGAGCCTGCGGGATCACAGGTGGCATGTAGCTAAGAGGCACCTGCCCTTAAGAGCTTTATACTCCAAAGCAGTAAACAACTTAACGAGCTTACTTATCTATGTACATTCCTTTCAGGTGACACAGGCCTTCCCCTCCCGGGGTAAACTGGTGGTCACAGAGATACATGCTTCTTAAGATGGTGTCTGTCACGTCAAGCCCAGAAACCCTCAGCCTAACATCGGGGTCTCCGGAGGCTGTTATTGAGGTGTCAGAGGCTGCTGGGGTCTCGTTTAAGGCATAGCCTCCTCTTCAAGTGGATGTGGTTGCTGGCAGAATTGGATTCCTTGCAGTGTGGGTCATTCCTGCTTCCCACAGTGGCTCTGTGATCAGAGATTTCAGCCTCGTTCCAGGGATGCCTGTGGTTCTGGCACCGCAGCCCTCAACACTTCTGGCTTTTCTGAAGCATGCCAGTGAAGTCCTCTCGAGTAAGTGTTGCCTTGTGTTGCCAATGTCCTACCTCAGATTCTGTCTACGTTCTGCCTGTGAGTCGTTTTCTTTTCTTTTTAAAAAAATATATTTTATTGATTTTTCACAGAGAGGAAGGGAGAGTCAGAAACATCGATGAGAGAGAAATATTGATCAGCTGCCTCCTGCAAACCTCCTACTAGGGATGTGCCCACAACCAAGGTACATGCCCTTGACCAGAATCAAACCTGGGACCTTTCAGTCCGCATGCCGACTCTCTATCCGCTGAGCCAAACCAGTTAGGGTCTGTGAGTCGTTTTCAATGTTGGGGAGGCAAAGGGTAATTAAAAAACAAAAACCTTTGGCTGGAGACAGGACAGCCCAGAACTAGGGGGATTGTGAATTCCCCTTCGTCTTAGCCAGTGGAGGACAAGAGCCAGAAGCTAAGTGTTCCTGTCACCTGTCACTCAGGTGGACACTTCTGAAAGGTACTCTGTACCCTTCCAAGGGCCTTTGCTATTTCTCCATTGCAACTGTTCATTTCTTAAAATTATTTTTTAAAAATTTCTAGCATTTCAGCATCAAGATCGAGAATGCAATTTATTCTTAGCAATCTAACGACCCTCAAATAAAGAGGAAAGTTGTGTCTCTCTATCTAGTTCCTAAATATTTTTAAGCTTTTAATTTTCTTTTGTTCAAATATGTTTTTATGATTTCAGAGAGAGGAAGGGAGAGGGAGAGATGGACACATCAGTAATGAGAAAGAATCAAATATTGGCTGCCTCCTGCATGCTCCCCACTGGGGATTGAGCCTGAAACCCAGCCATGTTTCCTGACTGGAAATTGAACCGTGACCTCCTGGTTCCTAGATCAATGCTCAACCACTGAACCACACCAGCTGGGCTAAACTTTTAACTTTGAACTAATTTTAGACTTACACAAGAAATATAGTTCATAATTCCTATATACTACTCACACAACTTCTCCTAATAGTAACCACTTACATAACCGTGGTACAATGATCAAAACCAGACCTTTTGAAACAATGTGATTAAACAAACTGTGGACCTCATTCAAATGTCATCAGTTTTTCCATGAGTATCCTTTCTCTGCTCCAGCACCCTATCCAGGATTACACATTATATTTATTGTTATTTTTCATAGTCTCCTCCAGTCTGTGATAGTTCTCAGTCTTTCCCTGTCTTTCATGATCTTGACACATTTAAAGAGTACCGGCCAATTATTTGGTAGAATATCCCTCAATTTGGGTTTGTGTAATGTTTTCCAATGATTAGAATGATGTGATGGTTTTTAGCAAGAATATCACAGAAAAGCTATATGTCCTTTTCAGTACAGTAGACACAGTGGTGCCTACTTATTATTGGTGACGTTAATTTCCCTTGATTGCTTCGTTGTGGTGGTGTTTGTTGGCTCTTTCTACTATAAAGTTACTTTCTTTTTCCCAGGGAGGTACTTTCAGATTAGGCCAACATCCTGTTACCTCTCAAAGCTTCACCCGCCAATTTTTTAAAAATATATATTTTATTGATTTTTTACAGAGAGGAAGGGAGAGGGATAGAGAGCTAGAAACGTGGATGAGAGAGAAACATCAACCAGCTGCCTCTTGCACACCCCTTAGCGGGGATGTGCCCACAACCAATGCACATGCCCTTGACCAGAATCAAACCTGGGACCTTTCAGTCTGCAGACCGACGCTCTACCACTGAGCCAAACTGGTTTCGGCTCACCCGCTAATTTTAGCATCTATTAGTTCAGTGGATCTTGACTGTCACAATTATGAGTTAGCCTAGTGGCAATTTTTATTTCTCTATTTTATTCTACTTAATTAATTGGAATTCTTCTATAAGGAAGAACTGCACCTTCTTCCATATATTTGATCATTTCTATCAGTATGGAATCATGGATATTATTTTATTCTAGGTGCTGAAATCCAATACTGGATTTTTTTCATTACTTTATTTATTTATATATTTATTTATTTATTATTCAGATTGTTCCAGCTCCTCACGGAGCCCCTTCGGGTTGAGTCCTGTGTTCTTTCAACAAGCTCCCCCTAACTTTTTTGAGCACTTCCTTACTCTGGCGCCACAAGATGTGCCAAGATCATCTTGTGTTTTCCCTGCCAGCCCTGGAACTAAGGAACCCTTTCTCCAAGGAGCCCTGGTTCCTTTTGTTGGAGAAAGGTGTTTAGAAACCATGATTGAGGTGCCAGTGTTCTCATTGTTGTGGAAGGGTCATTGCTTCCAGGACCTTTCAATAGACAAAGCCAGGAAGGAGACATAGACATATAAACTAACCCACACATTTACACACACACATACACAGCATACACACACAGCTGTACGAATATTTCCATATCTGTCTGTGTACTTAATTAAAACCATGAATTTATACTGATCTCTCTGACTCTAATCCAGTACCACAGAGTCCATTTTAGCCTTTTTTTTGGACCTTCCTTTTCTAGTGATGAAAAACCTGGCTTTTATTATCTACTAGAGGCCCGGTGCATGAATTTGTGTACAGGGGGTGTCCCCATAAGGATGGGGAGGTCAGGACACGATGGACCCTCTGGCTGGGTGGTGGGCCAGCCTTGCTGGCCCAAGATCCAAATCCATCCCACTGACATTTACGCCAGTTGTAGGGAGCCACCTGGTAGCCACTTTTATATTGTTTCTCCTTTGCAGAGCATCTAGGGAGGGGAAGCTGCTGCGGTGCCCGAGGTTGACTTCCAGGAGGCCAGTGGTACTATCAGGATCATGACGGCAGCACCGGTCCATTGGTGCCTGTCCCATTCTCGGGAGATTGGACCTGCAGGACTACTGAGGGAGGGAGTGTCTGCCAGCAGGCTGGTGGGCCACCAGGACTGGTCTCAGCTGAGCAGCACTCCTGCTGTGAGAGCGCACTGACCCTAGGGAGCAGCTCCTGCAATAAGTGTCTGCCCTCTGGTGGTCAGTGCATGTCATAGTGACCAGTTGTTCTGGTTGTACCGATTGTTTGGTTGCTTAGGCTTTTATATATATAGACTAGAGTCCCAGTGCACAAAATTCGTGCACAGATAGGGTCCCTAGCAGCTGCTGACCACTGGCCAGGGCCTCCCTTTCCCCAGCTGCCTGCTGCTGATGGCCAGGGCCCTCCTTTGCAACTGCTTTGGCCTGGTGCTGCCCACTCACCTGCTCCACCATCCCACTGTGGTCCCGCTCTTGTCAGGGCCCTTTGGGGCCAGCAGCATCTTCACTGATACCTGCTGCCAGTGTCACATTGCCGATACCACCATGTTCTGAGCCACCCCCTGGTGGTCAGCGCACTTCTAACTCTCAGTTGGTCAAACTCCCGTCTGTAGGGACAATTTGCATATTAGCTTTTTATTAAATAGAATAGTGTATTTACTTATTTGCTCAATTCTAGTACACCATTAGTAATTTTGGAATCACTAACCCATACCACTGTGAGAAACACACTAACAAGATTATAGCATCAATAGTGGCCCAGTGCATAAATTCATGCACATTGAAAGGAAATTAATTCGAAGAAATATTTTAATATCGCTATTCACCCTTTCTCTATAATACTAGTAGAAGTGTCAACCAAATTCACAATCAACAATGACAAATTGAAACATACCCATGCAATTGGTGCCAGCAAGAGCATTATATGTATCACGCATGTGCGAGACAACTTAGGCTATTATAGATATAGAACAAACTTGCTTAAGTAGATCTGCTTTCTGATGTAGCTAAACTTTTTCCAGCCCAGTGAAACACCCCAACTTCTCTTTCAGGTAATTGTCAGCAACACAGCAATAAATATCAACATGAAGCAGCTTATTATTGTAGATCACGCAGGGAGAACAAAGGGTAAAATATTTAACTGTAGCAGTGTTTGACAATATTCTGCGCTGTGCAGTGAGACAACCTTGAGGTCATGTTCAAGGTCCATTATTTCTTACTTCTTTTCAGTCGGGTCAAGTTTCTAAATTTTCTAAATCTCTGTTTTCTGGCCAATGAAAAGTAATTAGGATTCTATCAAGTCTTCTATCTTCTTACTCCAGGACTTCTGTGAGGATTAAATGAGATGAGGCATGGGAAAACACTTCACAGACATTTGGTTACAGTGTAAAGTGTTTCCACTATCTATAAAGCAAGTCATGTTCCTGGGCTGAAGAAACTGCAAGGAGGCTAGTTGTCACTAGGGAGAGAAAGCCAGGTATGTGACATCATTACCAAATGGAGGGAAGGACACTTAGCATATTAGCCTCATATATATATATATATATATATATATATATATATATATATATATATATGTTCTGTTCTGTTGGTGTTCAGTAAAGGTATCACTTACCAAAGCTACCTACATTAGTACTTTCCTTGAACATCCCCTTCAGTGCTGTTGGTGATTTGTTTGTGATACAGTTAAGGATGATCTGTTGGCATTTATGTTTTATTTTTATGTTTGAAGGGTGCATGAAGCATTACTGTAGTTCTAAGGATCAGAGCTATACCAAAGATATACTCAGAGAAAAGTCAGTCCCTCCATAACCATCATGCCTTGAATTCATTCGCCTCCTTTTCTCATTCCTTTCCCATCCCTCCCACCATAGATAATTGTTGTCTCTTTAGTTCCTGATTTACCCCTCCTCTATTTCTTTTGGACAAATAAGCAGATACAGATGTGTTTCCTTATAACCTCTTCCTTCTTACAAGAAGCTTAGCTTACTATAGCTCTTTGCCTTTTTACTTCACAGTCATTCCATACCACTCCCTAGAGACATTCCTTTCTTTTTCTACAGCGGTGTATTACCCCATTACTTGGATCACTACAGCTTATTCAGCTACTCTACTACATGATAACTTGGGTTATTTCTGATGTCTCACAATTACAGTCAATGCTGCCATGAATAATCTTATGCATTGTTGGAGGCATATCCACAGTGTCTATTCCTAGAAAGTCAAATTGCTGAATTGCTTTGCCAAAAAGTGAGAGTGCATATATAGCTTTGTTAGATTCTGCTAAGTTTCTATCCAGAAAGATTATGCTGGTGTGCATGCCCACCAGCAATATATGAATTTCTGTTTCCCCACACCATTGACAACAGAATATGTTGTCATATTTTGAAATCTTTGTCAGATAGGTAAGAAATGGTATCTCAACGTTGTTTATTTTGAGTGAGTTTGGATATTATTTCATAGGTTTGATAACAGATTTTATATCATTTTTATGAATTGTTTGTACATGTTCTAGTCCTATTTTTCTATTGCACTTTTAGTCTTTTGCCCCTCGTTTTTTACAAGTTCTTTTTTTTTTTTTTTTTTTAGATATTAGTAGCCCTTTCCTGTATAATATTTTGCAATTCTTCTTCATATAACCTTTGCACATACCTGTTCTAATCACCTCCGATTATTCCACTTTAAGAAGGGCTTTCCCCATCCTAAATAGTGTGCAACAGCTGAACACACAGCATTAACACTGGGCACATGAAATGGACAGCAGTGTGTTAGTCACACATGCTCACAGCTCAGGAGGACACCACATGCTGTGTGGCCACCCAAGGGTTACACTCAGGATCTGAGTAAACCAGAAACCATGGGAGGCAGACGCTGTAGTACCAGAGGTGCCCCCAGATTCCTGCAGGAGAATGTGATTGGCTTGTTTGAATAAACTCAGGGGTCCTTTCCCACGGGGAGGTCGGCTTTTCTGACAAGAGCAGAGAACTATGGCTAAGTCTTTGGGACCCTCTGAGGCTCAAAGACATTCAGGCAACATGTTCCATTTCAAGTCTTACAATGCAATATCTTGTTGAATTTATTCCTGAGTGGTTTATCTTATTCGGTGCCATGGTAAATAGGGTTTTCTCTACCATTGTAACTAAACAATATTTTTGAAAAGTTAACGCAGGCAGCAGGGGAAAGCATCTGCCATTTAGAGATGTGAAGACAAGAAAGCCTCAATTTTATAACTGAAAAAACCAAGAAAGACATTTACAGAGCAATTTAGGCCTAGGCATTGCCATCCTGGGTCATTTACCCTATCAAACTGTTCTGCTCTGAGAGGAGGAGAGCTGCATCTGTAAATCCTCCCGAACAGAACAGGCTACCATTAAAAACCATCCATTTCAAGGATCATTAAAAATGGACAATTTAATTTGCATTTCAAAGGTAGACTCGGAGAAAAGAAAAACCTGTCAGTGGGACTAGTAGGGGAAGTTTAATGATGCAAATTATTATCTTTTGCCTTAATGGGAAATACAATATATAACAACAAGGCATTAAAAAGGAACTAAAACGATATAAAAACAACCATATTAATGATTTAACAAAAGAAAACAATGAAATCAACTATAACCTCCAAAGAAATTGCAAACCATGTTTGAAGATCCATAGTGAGATTAATGTCTCATTCGCTTATTTATTCAACAGTCATTTACTGAGTGCTTACTAAGAGTCAAGATCCATTCTAAGAGCAGACATTCAGAGGTCAAGTTTACAGTCCTGGCCCTCAAGTTGCTTACAGGGAAAGTAGGCAAGCAAACAGGGATGTGCCAGGCCTCACATGGCTCCATTCAGCTCTATGAGGAGGCAAGGAAGGGACACCTACCCCAGACTAAGAAAGAGAAGAAATCTCAGGGGATTGGCACCTAAGCTTAAATCCCAGGGGTAGAGAGGAGTTTTCCAGCAAAGGAAGACAGGAAGGGAATTCCTGGCAGAGGGAAGAGAATCTGCATTCAGGGACGTAGAAAAGAAGGCCCAAGTGGCTGGCGCTTAGGGCGGAGGACGGCGTAACTGCACAGGTAGGCAGGGGTTGAATAAGAAGGTTCTTACATTCCATGTGAAGAATTTGGACCTAATTCTAAAGGCAATGGGGAGTGTTGAAAAATTTTAAGGAGAGTGATTAGGATCAGCTATGCAGCTTTAAAAAACTACTCTGGCTCCTTGAGAAGGACAGACTGCAGGTTTGGGAGGACAAGTAGGAAGATGATGCAATAATTCAGAAAGAACATTATGCGGACCTGGAGGCAGTGGATGGGAGAAGAAAAGTGGGACAGATATGGGTTATATTAAGGAAAGAGAATCAACAGGTCATGTTTATGGATTGGACTTGAAAGGTGGGGTGGGGATGGAGGCAAGGCTGTCCCCAAGCTTTTGACTTGGGTGACTGGGGTTTTAGGGAGCAAAGAAGATGGTAAGTTCAATTTGATATGTGCTGCATTTATTAAACTCAGCAGTGCTAAAATGATCATTAAACCAGTGGTTCTCAGCCTTTTAAGTGCATGAGAATAACCTGGCAGCCTTGTTCAGCTACAATCGTAAGTCTGGGATGGGCTCAGAATCTGACAGGCTCTTAAGTGATGCTGCTACTGGATGATGAGTCACACTTCAAGGTGTAAGGCTTTAGACTTAGGAGGTCAATTAATTCTTTTTAAAAAGTTTTTAAAAATATATATTTTATTGATTTTTTTTATAGAGAGGAAGGGAGAAGAACAGAGAGTTAGAAACACTGATAAGAGAGAAATATCGATCAGCTGCCTCCTGCACACCCCCAACTGGGCATGTGCCCCCAACCAAGGTACATGCCCTTGACCTGAATTGAACCTGGGACCTTTTAGTCCAAAGGTCGACACTCTATTCACTGAGCCAAACCGGTTTCGACTTAAAAAGGTTTTTATTTATCTTAGAGAGAGGAAGGGAGAGAGAGAGAGAGAGAGAGAGAGAGAGAGAGAGAGAGAGAAGCATCAATGGGAGAGAAACATTGATCAGCTGCCTCCTTCATGCGCCCCCAACCCCTACCCCCACCAGGGATTGACCCTGCAACCCAGGCATGTGTCCCTCCCTCCCCCTGCCTCCCAAATCTTTCTTCATCTTGCGCATCTCCTCTCAAAGGACTTTCTCAACCAAAAAAGGGTTGGGATTCTCTGCGGCATTGCCTGAGCTTTCTGCTCAGCATCCCCCAAACCATTATTGAGCCCCCGAAGCAATAAAAGATAGAATCATGTTTCCTGGAACAGAGAGGAGAAAAAAATACCCAGAGCAGCAAGAGACAGATGCAAATTAAAATGTGCGATGACAGGCTCCCTGCAGGTTGCTCAGAGATTCCTCAGCACCATAGCCCTGGAGCCTGTGGCTTCAGGAAGAATGGGTATGAAGGGGAGTAAAGGGAGGGGTGAGAGCCTGCCACAGAGAGGCGTGCTGCAATTCTTGACATGTGGCTACAATCTTATGTTCTCTGTAGGAAAGAGAATATAGTTTTTAATTGGCTAGGAAATATTATCGTACCAGTAGAAAGAGAAATCTATTTTTTTTTTTCTGTTTTCTGAAGAGAGTGAGTATATTTCAAAGACAAGTCACTGTAACAGCCAGCTAACTGTAACTAGAGACCTGTAGCTTTGTGGGTTTTTCCTCTGAAATTATTATTGTTTTATGTTGTTAAGAATAAGTTATTGCAAAAAATTACTATACTACAGTCATTCATAAGTCTTATGACTGAAGATCTGCCCAGTGTTTAGATCTTTGCTATAAAACAACCATTACTATGATTCATTAGATTAGTAAAGCAAGATAGTCAGATTTCATATCTTTTGGAACTTTAAGAACTAACCTCAAAATATATCCCAAAAGGCACCATTACAAAGAACCATGCAAATTGTGTTATTTTAGTTAGATTAAGAAAATATCTGGAAGGAATAATACTAGCTTGCAAATATATTAAAATTTATTAATAATAATTTATAATTATTATTAGAAGCCCGATACACAAAGAATGGGCCTTTCCTTCCCCTGACTGCCGGCAGTGCCTTTGCTCTGTCCAGAGCTGCCTTACTGCTCTGGCCTAGAGCTGCCTTTCTACCTTCCCATGCTGCTAAGAGGCCCAAAGCAGCTGGGGTGGTGCAGAATGCCTGTGTCATCACCATGGCAACAATGCAAGCATCCTGCCCTACCCCCAGCTGCTCAGCGCCTGTGTATGCAAATTAACCCACCATCTTTGTTGGGTTGATTTGCATACTCTCTCCTGATTGGCTGGTGGGTGTAGTGGAGGGATAGTCAATTTGCATGTTTCTTTTTTATTAGTGTAGAACATATCATCTACCTAAGAAAAGAGTGAAGGTACAGTCA